GAATATTATAAAACACTTTCCAACCGATATTTGTGTCATTTATCTTGACTTTGTGTTTTCCAAAGATTTCCTGTTGGCCACATTTCAGTAATAGCACACCGTCATGGGGTTAGGATCTGGTGTTCTGTGTCGGATGTTAAAATGTGCAGACAGTGGTGAGGACATCATTCTACAGCTTAAAGTGTAAATATGTGACATGTTGTCTGCATTATAGAAGGTGAGTTTATTGGATGAGCAGTCTAGGTAAATCCCGATCTTTCGAGGTCTGCCTGTAAACGATAGCTCTGTGATAACATCCAGACTACTGGTAGAATACTTTCGATCATCACATTTTAAGAAATGATCTTTTATTCCTAGTTCCCAATAGTCTCTGTGCCCAACATCTATCTCCCAGTAATACTGCCCTGAGGAGAACTCATTGACACTGGATGCATGGTTTGTGCTTGAATGCAAAGGAGGAGTCATGGTTTGGCCGAAGGAGCCAAACAAAGGAGGATTCATGATTTGGCCCAATCCTCTGGGGGTGCCGAATGAAGAGGGAGTCTTGGTTTGACCAAGCCATTTGATCAAGTCATAATCCGAGATAGGATTTGGCAGCGTTGTTGTGCTTTTGGGAGTAGACATCAAACTCCGCCTATCATCAGATATCGTTATATACATGCTGTTCGTTTTGAGTGACAGCAGTTCTGCTCGGGGCTGAATGACCTGAAGCATCTCCTTCCACATGAAGAACTGCAGGTGACTTCCATAAGGCCCCAAAGAGAGAGAGGCATTTACCACTTGTAATTCCTTGGCTCTGGGTCTGAATAAATGTTCTAGAGTGTCGTTATTCTCAGTCCAGCTCTTTATGAACCTCTCAGAGTCTGTGATATCCAGAACAGATGATACCATTGCCTCCAGCACTCTGCTCTCAGACAAAGCAATTTCCATGGTATTTAATGTGCTGCCCATTTCCTCCAGAGCATTTTCTTCTTTGTGTTTCAGGTCATTCTTGATCTCATTTTCTCTCTTCTTCAGAAACTGGTGCATCTCCTTAAACTGTTTACTGACCTGGGTCCTCAGATGCTGAGCCTTGTCTACGGTGTTTGCCATCACCTGCATCTGTGTGTTGGCCAGGCTCTCTGTAGCATTGACATCATCAGCAATGTGTTGCCCAAATTTCTCCAACTTCTTCCTCAAGGGTGCAGCGGCTTCTTTTACTGGTGTAAACTTGTGCCCTTTGTGCTTCGCCCCATTACAGCATATGGTACAAATGAACTGCTGATCCGTGACACAGAACAGCTTCAGCCTTTCTTCGTGTTCAGGGCACAACTCAGTCACCTGTAAAAAAAACAAAGTATTAATACAGCAGCAGAGAGGTGATGAAACTAGAGCTGACCGATATGGATTTCTGAGGGCCAATGCTAATATTGGTAAGTAAAAAATGTCAGATACTGATATATCTGTCACTGAATATATTTAAACATTATCACACTGATTTTAATTTAAAAGCAAAGTCTTCATACTGGTGCTTATCAGCAAATATAAACACTGATAAATAAAAGTCTTTCATCGGCCAACAAATTCATTGTTGGAGCTCTCGATGGAACATAAAAGATTTTTCAAAAGATGTTTGACCCATTCATAGATAGCTGTCTCACTCTCGGTAGAGACTCCAGTCGGCAGTGAAGCTCAAGACCCTTTGACAGTTTTTTGGTACAATCCTGAAAAAACTGAACAGTATAAGGCTCCATTCAGACCCAGTGTTAACATCCATTCTGAAGGAGGACACATCTGAGATCTGATCACCACAATTTGAGGTGGTCCCAGAGTACAGGTGAGCACTCTAAAAACAAACGCAAAAGGTGTTTTTAAGGTAGTGGATAAGCAGCCATACTCTTATGGAACATAGGTTTTACAGAAATGCTGAATAATACTTTTTGGATTTACTGTCGTGAATGTACTAGAGCCATTGTCTTATTAAGTATTAAATTGAACTTATCCCTTGTCCGAATTGCACTTAACTCAACACTGCACTTTCTTAGGCAACTGACAACTCACATTCCAAGTGTGAAGCGGACAAGATGATCAAGTTGGTATTCACATGCGCGAAATACATATATTGCTTATGAACACACCAAAGTCAAAACAGTGACTTCACACATGAGGAATTTCCACCTTCCGAGAAACAGATTGCACAGAACAACGTTTTGGACATGTGGCACAGCAAACTGTTTTATTTCCAGTTAAACGAACATAACTGGATTTGGACACACCCTGAATGCAGGTACAGGTGCACTCCGAGTGCTTAAAAGCTCAAAAGCTAAGTAGCTGGCTAAATAAACACTTGAACGCAATTGACTGTGTACTGAACATGTGATATATGGCATTAAAACATTATGTACAAAACATTGAATATTATGTAAAAATGTCAAAAATTGGTAACATCTTTCTGTTGTGGCAACATACAAGCACAGGAAATATATTTTCTTATGAAACACACCTCTGCTTTCTTGTGCGCTCTCGTTTGCATCATCTTCTCTTCTTCTTTGGCCTTTTCAGCGAGGCCTTTCAGAATGTGGCTGGTTTGAAGACACGTCCCCTCCGCCGGAATAGCTGTCCGACACTGTGGACACCGATGCAGCTTGTTCACACCATTGACGATACAGCGTCGGCAGAAAGAGTGTCCGCAGATGAGAGTCACTGGGTCAGTGAAGATGCTGAGGCAGATAGAGCAAGTCAAATGTTCAGAGTAAAGACCTGACGTCGCCATGGCTGATGTTTACCTCTCTGCTCTGAATGACTTACTGTGCTGTGGTTTTCAACTCTCAACTTCCCAGAAATGACACACCCACATATGTCACTCAGTGCAGTCATCTCTACAACCCTGCACAGGTCGTCTCTACAAAGACAGAAAAGTACTGCTTGTATTCACACATCTTCTCTTTCCTTGTAAGACGCCTACAGTAAATTAATGTAATGTCACACTCTAGTGGTAAGATTTTAAAACTGCAGGTTTTTTTTTTTTTCTTTCTTTCCTTGTTTGTTAACCCACATTTCTTTTTACTGATATCACTTTCTCCAGACTCCAGACTCAACAGTTCTCTCTGGTAACATCCAGCTCAGCACAGCAGTTGAGCTCGCAGTGAAAATAAACTATTGCAACTACAAGACCTCATAGGATCAACTTTTGCATCATAACACTAAAATTGTTTCCCAGCAATAGAAACTCAATCCACAGTCTCCTAAAAGGATTAATATTACCAATAACATGTATTTGCTCAATGCTTTTTTTTTCTTTATATGTGTTATATTTTCACATGGTCTGAAAAAGAAATATTATGATGTATCTTTCAGAAGACTACAGTGGACATGCAGTGTTAATCTCATCCATGTCATGTCCCTCTTATGTCCAAATGTTGTGTCTAGTGCCCTTTCCCCTGCCATTAAAAATACAGTGATCTAAAGTAGTAGTAGTAGTAGATTTTCTTTATTTCAGTATATGCAAGAGAATTTGCTTTAACAATGTTGAAATAAACAGGTTCTTTTAATTATTTATTTTTTTATGCAATATCAGTTGCACAAAATCAATCACAATCCCATTAGATCATCACATGAGCACAAAGAAACATTCCCTCTCCAACCATTTAGTTTCAGACTCAGTGTATTTACAACATTCTCTACAGTGAAGCACAAACTTCTGGCTGAAGGAAAAATACACAGCAACACACAAGTTGTCGTTTTTTTCATAAATCCTTCGTAGATTACGCAACATAGCATAATTATTTAACTTTTGTTTATCATTATTATTATTGTAAGTTACAGAGTGTCTACTATTACACAGCCACACTAATGGTCTATTCTGCCCAAGACATGTTGCACAACAAATAATTTTATATTTTGCAGATTAGTAAGGTGACATAAAAAATCATGTGCTGCACAAGGGTAAATACATGAAAAAAAAGAAAGGAGCAAAAATGAGGAAGCAAAATCTCACGTAAAAGATAATAAGGCGAAGACTGAACAACTCCTCTATCCGATGTGCTTGTTGGTTTTCAGAATAAGCATCTGAGTCGGCTCTCTTCCTCCCTCCTTAATGAAATCATCATCTCAACATCTCACGCTTCTCTTGAGTCATCTCAACAGTTTTGAGCATAATCAGTTCCAGATTTCGGTGTCCACACCAGAGGCCCATCTGTTCCACCTCCCATCTGTACACAGGCTCGTCACCGTCTCAAAAGAGGGCGATGACTTTGTGGAGTTTTAACAGACAGTGTGGCATGAGAAGACCAGTTGCCCCATTATCCCAGACTCTAGAACCAGCACACTCTGAGGGGGTTATGATCTGCTGCCTGACTAAATTTGTATTCAAAATATGCTTCTGCGGGCACGAATGCACTCATGGTGTGAATATGAGTCATGTTTTCTGCATCATAGAATGACAGCTTCTTTGATAGGCAGTCTAGGTAAATCCCAATCTTCTGTGGTCTTCTTGTCAGTGTTAACTTTGTGGGTGGATCTGATGTGACATATTCTTGTTCATTATAGCTCAAGTAATTTTGTCTTAATCCTACTTTCCAATAGTTCTGTTTTCCAACCTCTATTTCCCAGTAATGCTGCCCTGAGGTGAAGTTATTGGAGCTGAATGCAGAAGCTGAACGTGCTGAGCTGTCCTCCCTGCAAGTTTCACTGAAACCGAAAGAGTTGGATCCAAAGGATCTAGGAAATGAACCCCTTTCGAAAGAGTTGGATCCAAGGGATCTATGAACTGAACCCCTTTGTACAAATCCTAAAGACTGACACATTTGGTTGCAACACTGAGCTTTGATGATTATGGGACTATACATCAAATTCCTCCCGTCATCAGACACTGTTATGTTTTTAACGTCACTTTTGAGTGACAGCACTTCTGCTCGGGGCTGAATGACCTGAAGCATCTCCTTCCACATGAAGAACTGCAGGTGACTTTCATAAGGCCCCAAAGAGAGAGAGGCATTTACCACTTGTAATTCATTGGCTCTGGGTCTGAATAAATGTTCAAGAGACACCCTGCTGTTATTCTCAGTCCAGCTCTTTATGAACCTCTCAGGGTCTGTGATATCCAGAACAGACGCTACATGTTCTTCTAGAACTCTGGTCTCAAACAAAGCAGTTTCCATGGTATTTAATGTGTCGCTCATTTTCTCCACAGCAGCTTCCTCTTTTTGTTTCAGTTCATTCTTGATCTCCTCTTCTCTCCTCCTCAGGAACTGGTGCATCTCTTCAAACTGTCTGCTGATCTGGGTCGTCAGCTGCTGAGCCTTGTTTTTGGTTTTTGCTATCTCCTCCCTCTGTGTGTTGGCCAGCATCTCTGTAGCAATGACATCATCAGCAATGTGTGGCACATATGCCTCCAACTTCTCCCTCAAAGGTGCCACTGCTTCTTTGACTGGTTTAAACTTGTGCCCTTGGTGCTTTTCCCCGTCACGGCATATGATACAAACTAACTGCTGATCTGTGACGCAGAACAGCTTCAGCCTTTCTTCGTGTTCAGAGCACTGCCATTCATCAACCTTTGAAATCAATAATTAAATGTTACAATACAAAGACAGAGAGCAAAATTAATGACACAAATGTGGGGCTGCAAATAACAATAACTAATATTGTCCCAGCTTATCTTTTGGTTTAAATGTAATGTTTCAGCTGTTTTGTCTTCATAGAACAAAGAGATACATTGTGATAAAGGACAAAGAAAAGTAGCAAATCCTCATATTTGATAAGCTCAAAACCGGAAAATTGTTTATTTAAAAATGACTGGAAAAGTGATTCAGTTATCTAAATAATTGAGTAGTTGGTTGCATCCCATTGCAGTGATAACTGAAGAAAGAGGTGACAGACTTACCTCTTTGACATTTCCTTCCTCTCTCCTCTTGTTGACTTCTTTTTCAACAAGACTTTTCAAACTGAGATTGGTTGGAAGACATTTCCCCTCTTTTGGAATATCTGCTCTACACTGTGGACACTGATGCTGTGAACTCAGAGAAAGAGTAATACACTCCCTGCAGAAAGAGTGGCCACATAGGAGCACTACAGGATCAGTGAACAATGCCAGGCACACGGAACAAGTCAAATCTTCTGCGTACGAAGCAGACGCCATGGCTCCGTTTGCTCTTCCTTCCCCTGTCAAAACCAGTTTAAACCGGGCTGAGCAAGTTCATACTTTCACTTCTGTTTTCTCAGAATCGCCACACCCTATGGTGATGTCACTTTGACAGTAGACAAAGAGGATGGGGAGCATGGAAAATGAATACAGACAAGCCAAGACTAACTTCAAAATAAAAGAGGGAATAATAACTGCAGATCATAACACACTCAATTGGAAGTGTTTGGCTAAAAGACATAACCAGTAGTAAGGTAGAGTTAGCAGAGTTCATGAAGGTTATATACTAACAAAGCTGTAAACATGATGTAACAGTCCAACCTTGGTTATGCGTTAACTCTTTCTTAAAACAAAAGTCCGATTCCATATGTGCATTGAAAGTGTCTCCCTTTCTGTAATAATAATTAACAACTATGTGGACAGAAAAAAAATAATTGTATTTGACTGTTTCAAATCAGCAAAGCAACAGCAGCCAGGCAGCTAGCAGCTAGCAAACACATGAAGCAAAATCTCCTCAGTCATCAACAATGGATGTTATTAAAGATTATCATGGATGGACTGAAGATGGGATTAATTGAAAACCATGAAAACACAACAAGGTGTCATCTTCTTCTTCTGTTTTTTATTGTGTGTATTGTCTTTTTTAATTGTCGTTTTGTTTTTCTGGATGTGTTAGTGTGAGGTGGATGTTTGGATCTCAATGTGGACACGTGACCTGGTGTAAATGTAAACAGGATACATTTACCAAGATACAATCTGGATCAAAATGCATTTTAAGCCAAGTCAGACTGTTGAAGCCTCCTCATATTGGTTTCCATCTTCTGAACATGGATACAGTATATTTGTTGTAAACACATAAAAACTGAGGAGTTTTCCACAAAATTTGGTGTAAGGATGTGAAATGAGCCAAAACCCCAGGGAATAATTAATGGACCTTAATGACAAATAAATCAGGAATATTAAGGAGACGGATATCTATGAGTGGGTGAAATTTGCTGCGGGATGATTGTTGGGCCTTGATGGAGGAATGCACTCTGTCGAATGCCTTTCTTGTTAAATTGTTTGAGGTCTTGGTCAAGCCACAGATATTGTCATCAGTCATAGTGGTAGTTGTCAACTGCTGAGTCAGCTGGATTGTTCAGCACAACAATTGGTCCAAAGCTGATAGCACCGCAGGGGTAGAACATCATTGGTTCAGAGGATTTCTCCTGCAGGCAGAGTTTATGTATAAGAAGTGATTAGTACCAAGCACAAGCGGCAATTGGAGAAGCTGAACATGGAGACAATAAACATGTAGAACACCACTCTATAGCTACTTTCAGATGTTCACTGAATTTCAGAGAATCTCTTGGCATTCTCCCGAGGGGTGTTGAAGAGAAGTCTCATGAAGTATACACAGAGGCAGAATTGTGGTTCATTCCAAAAGCTACTACAGCTTTTATATCCTTTGATAAACAATACAGGCGTGTGCATGTCCCATTCCCAGTAACGACTCACTTAGTGTGTCTGTGCATATCTTATCTTCAAGCCAATTGTGTGTGCGTCTTGGTATGTTTCCTTCCAGATAAAGACACAACTGGGGATTGTTTTTTCTCGTTCTGCAGCCAAGTCTACAAGCAAGTTGTGTAACACTTGGCCATTTAGATGTCGAGCTTCAATCGGGGCTGCATGTGAAAACCCAAATGTCCAAGTAAGAGGCAATGCACTTTCTGCGACCTTTTCCACAATTTCTACTGCCAGCTGCTTTGTAAAAACTCTGGATTATGTCTGAATGAGCCCATGACAACACATTGGGGGATCCTCAGCAGGATTCACTGTGAGTGAGTGGGTGTGTTGATGGTGTTTCTAATATGTGGCAGACACAAAAATGTTAAAAGGAAATCTGCAGCCTCTATCAGTTGTCAGGCAGTGCACACTTATATGGGTGCAGTTTTGATTCAAGGACCAATGGGAAGGGGGGGTGGGGTGTATTAGTTTCATCTTTTCAAAGTGCAATCTGCTATTGCTAGCTTTTCCAAGATTACCAACCCTAGCTTTAATGTTAATCATCAAACCATGGCAATCCATCGAAAAGTAAAGGATGAACAGGAGTCTCTATAAAAAAACATGCAGTGGCGGTTTTTGGCACGAGCGAACCGGGGCGGCATTTTTTTCAGGTCAAGTGGGGGGCGGTACGAGCACTTGCTGCTGCAGGCGCCACTGCTTGCTGAGAAGGTGCCGCGGTGCACAGAGGCTGTGTGAGAAGGGGAGGGGCAGGCTGGGGACAGTTCACCTCTGGGTTTCCCAAATAGAAACGGAAAAGGGGGCTGGGGGGGATAGAAAGTGTATCGTATAGTGCAATACACTAATGAATCTTCCAAATAAGCTCGGGAGAGCTCGGAGGGGGTCTCGCCCAGGGAGTAACTCAATGTAGAACCACCACTGAATATATGTGTGTATATATATATATTATATTGTTCAGTTTTTTTGGGGTTTTCAATAAAATATATAATTTTTTCAATAAAATATATAATTTTGTTTCCCAGGTCTGAAACTTAAATCCACAATCCCCTTTAGTGGCAATGAGGCACTGATCACCCTCCATACCGGAGCTTACGCCGATCGGGCTACAACCCGGCTCTCTCCATCTCGGGAGGGCGCTAACCAACCGCATCCTCCGATGCTCCAACACCATTCTAACCTTTCCTCCGACACACGCGAACAACGGCAGACTGCGCGAGAAGAGTCGTGCACTAATAAACATGCATTTCAAGGTAAGCCTGCTCATGTCGTGTGTAATGCGGGAGGATGCGCTCCTCGGTGCGGCTGTAGCGCAGCATCAGCAGCGTGGAAATCCACATGTGCAAAGCTGAAATGTTTCCTGTGTAACATCTGGAGCGAGCACAGAGGCGCTGCCCGTCTGCTGCCCCTGATGCCTGTGTGACACTGGTGAGGCTAAAGTGAACAAAAGGCTTGTTCATCTGCAGCATCTGGTCGCATTAATCCTTCACATGGAGCTCCCTCTAATCCATTCACTACTGAGCTGAGGCGAATCGTTTTTAGACGAAGGTAGACAGTATTGTGTATGATATAATATTAACAAAGCAACAGTATGTCGCCATTAATTGGGGATGGGCTTTAGTAGTTCATTGCAGCTATATCTGGGTATTTAAGGTACATAGACTGACTGATATCAATCTTAAATCGTCTAATCCTCACGTCTCCACCACGTGCTTGATCAACGGAATTGCTCTTGTCAAATTGATGATCCACTGCTTATTTACAGCCACAGCACACTAAAGCATGTCTGTCAGTGTAGGGATTCCTGAAGGGGACTGGGTTCTACCATGTCCTCATCGAGGGTCGGAACCATCTCAAATTACGTGATGGTCTCCTCATCAACAGCCAGTGCTCTTTCTGTCTCTCTGCATCGGCTTCCTGGAAGGTGCATAGCCGGAAACACGACATCTGTGGCTTCCTGCAATTGTTGTCTTTGTTTCCTACAAACTACACAGCTGATAATGTACAAGGCCAGACACTCACACCCGCATGTGCATGAGCCAGGCTATGTGGTCCATACAGGAGGCATTTAACACAGAGTAAGTTCACGGGAGTTCAAGGGATTCCCAACTCTAGAAGTTTGTGACTGTTCTGTGTGTCAGGGGGCGTTAAACAACACTGGAGAAGTAGTTAGATCACAGCGATTTGAGCATCAAGTCTTCACAAAATTTTACATGACTCTATATTAGTTGGATTAATCCAGAATCAGAATCAGAAAAGCTTTTATTGCCAAGTAAGTTTACACATACATGGAATTTGTTTTGGTGTTGTTGGTGCATGTCAGACATCTCTAAATATAAGAAGATAAGAATATCAATAATAAAATAATACAGTCTAGACATGTTTTAATACATCAAATGATCTAGTTTGGATAATAATTTAGATAAAGTTTTCTAAAGGTGGGGACATTTCTCGATTCTTAGATCCATCTCGAAGCCGAAATGGACTCTGCATCGATGCAGAGACGGAACATAATCGATTCGGCTTCTTAATACTTTTAGCAATGGCCTGCCGCTTTATAATTATAACCACTGCTGCTTCAGGATCAGGACAGATGCATATTGGCATCCTCCCTCCACTCTCCCGCTGACCTGTGCTCACTTTACACTTTAACAATACATCAACACTAATCAGAACCTGAACACTACTAACGTTTGCTCTGTGTTTGTTGATTTGCTTTAGCGTTTATGAGGGCAATATATAAACATGTGCACGTAGTCCATCTGCTTACACGCAACACGAGACGCACACAGCCAGGACATCAGGGTTAAAGTGACTGGAATGATCCAGATTCACGATCCAACACCATTGAGTAATTGTGGTTATCAGTTTTCGTGAGTGACAGAGATGGGCAGACACACACACACACACAGGAGAGAAGTCCTCCCTGCAGATTATTTGAATTATTATTATCACTTTTTGTTTTACTTCGTCGTTGCAGAAGTGACGACCCGTTTATGCAGGAACATAAATATTATTTCAGCAAGTTTTTGTAAACATCAGCTCTAAGTGTGATGATTAGAAAAGAGCAGAGGAGGGGAATTTGATCAGCAAAGTAATGGACCTGAATGCTGCCAATGGTATCCGGGCAGGGCCACCCTGATACAGTAATCTAAATTGAATCAATGTGGAGAACACTCACCACTGTTACACACTGGCTGTTGTCCGATTTTTGAATTGAAAAGCTTATTTTGTAAATTACAGTTCAATTCAAATAACAGTTACAGTCTAAAATAATTTTTAAAAGCACAAATCACAAGGCTAGTGAAGATGCACACCTCTAGTAGTCATACATCTACTATTATGACAAATCTGTTATTCATCATAATCTAAATATTTATTTTTCATGTCAAAGTTTAATGGTTGGACACAGGATGTCCTCAAGTTGACTGAAAAGTCAATTCTTGTGAGTTTCTGTGTGCACTAGAAGCTTCAAATGTCCAAGTTGCATTTGTGCAAGTTATATACTTGAATGTGA